GAAGAGCGGAAGTCTGTAAAAATTTCAAAATTATTCGAATCTAAAGTTCATAAAATACTTTATTTTGAACAATTTATTATGAAGAAAATGAAAGTTATAGTCAGTATATATCTGTAAAATTAAGTTGAAATGCGCACATACAAACGCACATACCCGCACATAATTGCAAAGTACGTACCTTCAAAGTTCTCATATAACTTCGTGATGGAGAGAGATGAAAAAAGATCTCCATTAGAATATTCTTCAAAATAATTTGAATAATTTCTTATAAAATATACTTACAAGGACTATCGATTATGTGTACGCTCGCAAAGTATCTAACCACATTGATTTCTAATTAGAATAATATCGTGTTATAAATGATATTTTGATAAAAAAAAAAAAAAAAAAAGAAGATGGAGAGAGAGTGAGAGGGGGAGATATCGAACAAGCATAATCATGAATAATATATATATATATATATATATGTATTCCGTCTTGTGAGTTTATGCTAGAGAAAAAAACATTTAATTAAGTTAAAATATAAAATACTGCATAATTGTTTCGTAAATTATAAAAGCATTAAATGTAGATGGTAAAATTATCGACATAGATGAAGATCAAATTTCATTACAGTTCAAATGTCAAAAGAGAATCTAATAATTAATTTCCTAAAAAGTGTCTGGTCGCAGAAGTATGTAACTCGCACTCGGCTTTTTCTCTCGTCTCCGACTCCATTAGCAATGCAGGAGAATCTTGGCGAAAATACTGACATCCTAGGATGTACTGCATTACATTAGGACACAAAGGCTCACCGCGGGAAAATTGATGCACATCTATTAGAAGTCGGAGTGGGAGCTGCACTGGGATGCCTAAGAATTAGTCAGCCGAGGGTAGGGTCGCGCAAAAAGTGCCCAAGCGAGCCAGCGGAGAAATTGCCCATAGTGGCTTGGACATCAAGAAGGACGGAGATAGAAGGAGGAAGAAGTTTTGAGGACAGCAGAGCCGCCTAAGCTCGCCGTCGTATATACCGCGGAATTCTCCCGCACACTCACACCCAAGGAAATGTGCGTGACTTCGTGAACTTTATTAACCGCCGGTGGGAGGGAGATAGGATGAACTTCCTTGGACCATCTTAGCTATACAAGGACAAGTTACGAGTTTCGGAGCCGCCACTTATATAAGAACAAATTGGTGCACGCGACTCTAGTGAGTCTACACGAGTCGCAGTTGTCATCGTATTATACAGCAGCCGTTGCCACTCCCTCTTATATCTCCTGCCTCTCTCCTCTACTCCCGATGGATATGGACATTCTTCTTGCACTGTCGCAGTCTCCTTCATATTTATTTATCTGTACCGATAGAGCGACTTAATTCACTTACTCTAATACATCGCCTCCTTTTTTCCACATCCGAAATCTCAGAATGTTTATTTGCAGTGTTGTCTGTAAGTAAAATTATATTATCGTTATATTGGGAAATTTTAATAATTTTGACACTTTTATCATGTTCTCCATCATCTTTTATATTGTAAATTCAAATATAACGATTACAGTCGTGTGAATGACCTTTCATAACGGTACATGTAATTCATAGTGATAAACAGGATGAAAGTCTACAAAGAAAATTTCATCCACGAATTTCATTATTAACATAAGATTCCTTTGTTTTAATAATATATTACTGTTTATACGCATATTATATAATATATAAACTTTGTGTTATAATTTAATAATATAAATTGTAATTACATACATAAATTTCTTAATAATAATTTTTAAATTGATTTGTTAATTTTTAATAATGATTCGTAAAATTTATTCCTATACCATCGACAAAATATTGTTTTACCAGAATCTTTTTCACATTTGCTTTCACGATGTTTTTCGCACAGTTATCCTAATTATACAATGCTGCACATTTAAAACAATTAAATGATATTTTGTTTTTAATTCAAATGCTTTTATATAAATACATTTCTTAAACAGTATTAAATTACGAATTATTATCATAAAACTTTACGCATTTTTAGGGGATTCGTATAAGTTTGTGAATATAAAGTGATGTACGTTTGCGAGGAACGTGAAATTGAAGAAAATTTTTATAAGCTTTATAATACCCTAGTAATGCGTAGGAACAAGACAGTTATTCGGTAAATTAACAAATAAATGCTTCATTGTTTGTTCGAAATTTTTGATAAGCAATATAGGAGAGCCGAGTGAGTTTCGAGAAACGTATAATACCATTTTTGCAGTAAAATATCGATAATAACATTGCTCGAGATTTTCACACACGTGTCGACATTTTCATAAAATTATACATCAATAGGTCGCATATGAACAAGCATGAGCACACGGCTACGTCGAGTTGACGTCGAGGCATCGTTAAATACATGTGCGAGCTGAAGTAAATAGCGTACACTTGGCCGTTTAATCTAGCAGCAATGATGTGTGGGTTTTACCAGAAAAGCTCGACGGGAAACATCTCCGTCGATATAAATTGGCAATTATTACGAGGTCTAACTTGCGCGAGTTCATTCGTGGCTGCGCTCGCCCCTGCCTCGACTCTCCTCTCCTCCTCCCCCCTCCCCCGCTAACACTGATTGATCGATTGATATTAATCGTCGGTTGGATGAGCGTCAGAAATGAATTACCTCGTAGCAATATAGCAGTGGTGGGTTAGTAAATGGGCGATTCGATCGCATGACGAATCATTTTTTGTACACAATCGCTGCTCGGGCTTATCCCGTATTCGCGAAGGCTGAAGGTGCGGATGGAAGGCGGCGTAAAGCTCGGAATTTTCAGCTTTCAAATGCGAGGAGTCTGGTGATGGAGTCGAGGGGTAGCCGGCTGCAGCCCCCGTAAGCCTGTCCGCATCCAGTGCCACTCCTGCCAAGGATCTCGGCTTCCTCGTACCGCTTGATCTCGCTCCGTCGGCTCGGATAATCGTCCTCCCCCGAATCTTCGGAAGGCCTGCCAAAATCAAACATAATCGCGAGTGAGTGCGTGACTCGACAGCTCGGGTTTACTTATCGACGACGAACGACGACGAACGACGACGACGACGACGACGACGACGACGACTGACCCGGAGTGTCGTGTATGTTGCCAAGGTCGTTCGAGCGGTATTGATCCAGTGATTGCTCGCGCCGAGTATATTTGCAGCCGCTTTCTACTTACTACTACTACTACTACTACTACTACTACTACTCCCCCGGCTACCCGGCTAGTTTTCGTCGGCGCGCAATTGCCGCATGAGCACAGCCTGGCTCTTTATCGCGATGCTTGTTTGCTCTCGGAAATTTGCTTACTCGTACGTAGTGCGCAATTCGAGCGACTGCCAGGCCGCCGTGTTTCGCGCCTCGCACCAAAATCCGATCCCCGTCATTCTGATTTCATTAGCGCGAAATCTTTAATGGTCGCTTGGGAGGGGACTCGCGCTGCTCTTTGAGCGCGTCTAAACACGCGAGTTCTCTCGCCCGAATGCTTTCCAATGGCAATCGAATTTCCTTTTTCGCCTCGTTTCTTTGAAATCGTGCACAAGTTTGCGAACAATTTGAATACGTAATCAAATCGACGGCTTTATCGCATTTATTTTGTCCTGGATTCGCGCGCACCCAGGCACATTAACATTTCATGGCTGGGTGTTATCAAAAAAAAAAAAATATCTATACTCTCTCGCGATATTAGTCTAATACCTGAATGTTAATTTTTATTTTAAAGTTTTTACCTCCGAAATTCCTTTACGATCAGGGACGATAATTATTCATTATTAATAAGCTTTAGTCCGCGCGTTAATAAAATAGTTTACCGAATGCAATTAGGTTAAAAGCATTGTCGCAATTCAATCGTTATATCGATTAAGTCAGTTATTGAAGTAAGGCTGACGCCTGTAATGAGACGACGAGATGTCAAGTAATGGAAAATGTCTCCCAATTTCGAATTTCGATCAAGATACAGAGAGAGAGAGAGAGAGAGAGAGAGAGAGAGAGAGAGAGAGAGGGAGAGAGAATAATATACTGGTGGAAATATAAGCGTTACTGTAAACAGAGAGAAGATGTTTGAGAAAATAACGGTTTAGAATCGTACCAACTTACTGAAACGTACAACGAAAGAAACAATAAGTGAGTTAGCAATGTAAAATTAATGAAAGCCGCGAGTTGAGCTTAATGAATGGAGGAAAGCGATGCAATTTGCTATGTGTTGATCAGGCATCTGTATGCGCTACTATGGGTGTAAAAGAGTAAATAAGCAAGAGCTATAACATAGGTATCGCCAACACTAGTGCTTGTATAAAATAGTAAATATGCGTCTGTGATATCCAGCGTTTCGTCGCTCCCAATGGTAACTCCCTACGGTTGTACACCTACATTGTACACAAAATGTGGGTGGCTTCGATATATGATTCGATATATGGCTTATGGAGCCGATGAGAATTGCGATGAAGCTGTATCTCAATCCGACATCTGTGAGAATTAGTTTTCACATGCGAGAAACGAAGTAATGAGATCGAATGCTGAACGAGGCTCGATACGGTAAATTTCATATCGCCAAAGCGATTATAATGAGAAACCCTAGTGATTTTTACCGATATCATCAATTGTTTGATATTACTCGACAATATAGTCGAGTTATTTTTTATTTAATTTATTTAATTTATTTAATTTATTATTATTATTATTATCATTATTATTATTATTATTATTATTATTATTATTATTATTATTATTATTATTATTATTTAGGTAGAATTGTTCATTATCAATTATTGCCAACCTCACCATCCTGAGTTCAATAACTAGTTTGGAAAAATAAATTTGAATTCAGTGACCCGAATTTATGCCAAATTTATTAATCATTTTGCTTCAGCCTCGGTATATACTGATTATATTTTACGTATTTTATTCTTTGCTATTTAATCGTTAACTATAATTTATGCCTTTTGATTATGACGGATTTCCGAAATAGATATTAATTAAGAAATAAATATCAAAATTTGAAGTGGTTACACATTTTTCACTTTAATATTAAATATATTATATATTGAATTTACTTATTCGACAAAATGTACCAACTGAAATACATTATATATATATATATTTTTTTTTTTTTAATAAATGACATTTATTCACTTTCCATGTATTTTTCAAGGATACTCAAAGAATACGATAAAAATATTGCTTTGTGTTATTTAAATCATTGAGACTTCTTTTTTTTTTTTTTTTTTTTTTTTTTTTGAAAAATTTTTTTTTTTACTTTATGCCACTCATGTGGCATCAACAATCATTAAAGTTCTGTTAAAAATTTCAAGATATATTTTTATTGTAAATTTAATCACTAAACTATGAATTCCGATGCTTGAGTAATTACGTAAGGGTAGGTAACGATGTATTTGTTTGCACGAGCGTGTAAATTCATTTAATCAAACTGTACTTGGAAATTTGAAGAATAATTAAAATCGAGATAAATTGGGATGAGCGTTTTAAAAATATGACATATTCAAAATCTGCTGTCAAGTAGAAAATTATTCTCATTTACTGTATTACTTCACTACACTAAACTATAGAATTATCGAATAAGTGTTAAAAATTATATTGTAAATCGTACGTCGTGGATGAAAGGACAATATAATTTTAAGAAACTTCGTATATATAAATATAAATTTTTCTATAAGTTATTATTTAAAATTATGAATTTCAGTTACTTTTTAAGTAAAAAACAATGATAATAAGTGTACAATTAATCAATTAACTTACACTTTTTATTTACAAAACGTGTAGGATAACATTAAGTGCAAATTCTTATACTTTTATCTCACCCTCCTCCCTTCCCTTTTAATAAGATGGTTATGAAATTAGAATATATCGAATAGTTTCATAAGTATAACACTCTAAACTTACTACTAACTTTATCTTTTATACTAACGAAGATAATAGTATGAAAGCAAGAAATATGATAATAGAAGCGAGCTTCTAAATGATAATTATATTCAAGTTTCAGAATTTTTTTTTTGTTGCCTTAACGATCAATCTTTTGTACTCGTAAACAAAGTTTACACTAAAAAAAAAAAAAAAAGAAGCATACATAATATTATATGTAATAATAACATACGTGATACATTAAGCAATGTTTAATAATACTTGAAAACTGATTAATGGTGAATTAATGGTCTTTTGCAATTAGCATAAATCGCATGTATAAAAATAAAGTGTAATAAATAAAATGAAGGAAATTAAAAGATAAGAAGGAGAATTATGATAGGACTTAGTAATTCATCAAACGAAATATAAAAGATTCTATTGCTTCACGGCGTTTCCATAGATACGTCAAGAATCACCAATACCCCGATCAAGACACGCTTACTTACGTTAACAGCAAGTGGATGATTTCCTCAACGACGTCTCCGCCGCTCCTGGCAAGAGGCGCTTCGGCCAGCTCGCAAATCGTCCTTAAAACGCACTCCTGCCCGTCACTCCAGCCGTTCCTGCAAAATTCATGCTAAACAGCTTTTCCTCTACTCATATACTTTACATACGCGTGCACATAAGTCCATGAGCCAGTAAATCAATCGAGCACCAAGTCATCTCACTTAGACAGTCACTCGCTGTTTACTTATAGCGATAGATCACAATTTGTCGTTGAATGATTGTTCGCCTACTTTGGTCGATAACGATCGAGCAATGAAATTTCGAGTAAAAATTGACGGCTTATGAAAGTCAAGGGCCTGTTGACGTTGACGTTGAGATCGATAGATTTACGCGAGTAAGAAAGTTAGAGATAGGCGAGGCTAAGAAGAGACTAGTCTATTTAAAATTCCTCCTCATATAGCCGATGCGACATATAGAAGGAGCAAAAGGACTGTAAAAGTAGCGGCTACAAGCGATGTAATATCGAAGCTGTACAGAAGTGCGCATCCATGACACTCGAATCCCCTAGAAACGTAATTGCTTTATGTCCCAATTAATTTACGTTTAAGTTGCCGGTACGACCGTGGCGGTTCTTTCTCCGCTGAGCCATTGATCGTAGCTCTGTCGCGACTCGCAGCTCGATCCTTATATTTATTAATATTTACGAATAAATAGGCCCTGGCGCAGAACATTATTGTTATTAGAACGTCGCCAAAATATCTCCATTGCGAGGTATTTACTCGGAAGGGCCAGTTGTGCGGGTTCGGCCGACTGCACGTGCGCTTTATAGCCAGGATTAATTGTCCCAGACAATGCGAAATTAAACCGTTGCGTCCTTTCTTTTTCCCTCTCCCTACTCCCGCGCAAATCCTCAGCACCGCCCCGGTATCCTACCGTAACCGTCCAAACCACTTCCTCGCCGGCCTTTGTTCTAAGCGAAAGATTCCGCGGTGCACTTGGCTGATTTATAACGCAAATGTTTTACCTTTGAAAAACGTCCGAGTTTAACTTGATTGATGAGGCGATATCGAGCGCTAGTTATTTTAATGAAAATTTCATTGCGAATACTTCTAGATAATTAGTTTTCATTAGAGATAGAACGGGAGAGAGAGAGAGAGAGAGAGAGAGAGAGAGAGAGAGAGAGAGAGAGAGAGAGAATATGTGAATTTTGTGAAAGCGAATTATAATTTTTACCTTAATAAGGACCTTATCGTCACTTACCGATCACTTGCCGCATCGAATTCATCAAAAATACATACACTTTCACACTTAACTTATCGCGCGTTAATTGCGTCGACTCGCGTCCACGGCATTACGCGATTACGCTTAACGTATTGGCGCCCGTCGATAGCTTATTCTCAGCATTAATGCGTCCAAGGGTGGGCTGACCTTCGCTTCGGTATCGACGCTACTTTGCGCATTAATATAAAATACATTGGTCACTTACTTCTCGAGTACATCCTCCAGTACCATATAAATATTCTCCAAACGTAACGGCTGCGCTTGTGGCGATGCCCGTGCGTGCACGACCGTAGGTTCAAATTGGGTCAAGTTCCACGGTAATACGTAATTGAATTGAAAGCCCGAGGAGAACACAATGCTGCCCCTTTTGTTCGTCGCTACTGGCATAGACATCCCTATCGTAAACTGCGCTTAAACAATAACAAAAACAAAAAAAAAACAAAAAAAAAACAAAAAAAAAAATTAAATAAATATACAAAAAGAGGATGAAGAATAAAATTCCATACTTATTAAAAAGCGGTTTTATCCGACAGAAGGAGTGAAAAAAAAATGATAAAGACAATGAAGAAAGAGATGAAATGTTAAAAGCGTTTCGACGATGCTTATTCGATATAGATTAACAATATTCATCTTATATTGATTGTCGGAGAGGCGACGAGTGAAGTCAAATTCAATAATTGAAAAATTCCACCTTCTTCAATTTCATTATGACCAACTGAAATTTCAATCTTTAATTAAATGAAAATTTTTTTAATGCTGGAAAGGTAAATTTACAATACAATTGATTGCGTACATTGCTATTAATTATTATGAGGTGCAATATTAATAAAATTTCAATTTTAAAAGGACAATAATTTTTTGCAAATTATGTTCGATAAACGAACGCTGGCCATCAACATTTACAGATACAATAAACTGAATTTTACATTAATGGGGTGCTTTATTCATGGTTTTTATTCAACTAATCGAAATGAATGTTTGAATACATTAACAATTGAAATTGCTTAAACGTAGTTTAATTGAACCTTGTTTAAGCAGGAATAACGTTAATTATAAATTTTAGCAATTAGTTTGAGGCAAATAATTCGAGTATTATTAATCGTTAGGTACTTTTTAACATATTATATATATATATATATATAATCTATAATAACTTTGATCAAACTCATATAGTACTTATTGTTTAATAAAATGATACAAACGATACATAATTGCATAATTTTATAAACTAAACAATAAAATATTCGTATTATTAATATTTATCGAGTATATATAATTCATTGAAAAACATTATAATTAATTACGTACCATTGGCAGTGCATATAAAATTTATCACACATATTACAAATGCCCCAAATAATCATAATTCATAATGCATAGTTTATTGTATTCTCTTTCGTTGTAGTAGTTACATTTTAATTCAAGTAGAATAATGTTAAAACATTAGCCAATAAACTTTATGGTAAATGACCAGGGACATTGTATTAAGTAACAAAAGACACCGAAATTTAGACCAAAGCCGTAGTCTTACTATCAATCTACCGTTCACGAGAGTCTAAGTACGCTATACATATATAATAAGTAACAGTTGTATTAATGTTTCTATATATATATAAGAAAATGTAAAAGGGCTGATGAGTAAAAGCCAAAGGAACGCACAAACACCTCTTTCATGAAAACTCGTCAAAAATGTCTCGTTATTCATTCGCAGTGAACTGCCGTCTTCCTTAAGGTAAGAACAAAATTTCGACTTTCTAGGGCTTTTCTCTTGCGATCTCCCGTTAAAAAACATGAGAAAAGATTTTCTTATTACAAAGCTGCGCTACGATGAAGTCTGAGGTAGCAGTAACACATTTCAAATTGGAAGTAAACAAATGTCATCTCTAATTGCGGGACTTCTTTTCTTGAAAGAATATGCATTACTCTTCGAATAAGAACATAATAAGATCTATTATTTGTATTCTAGTACTAATGGCGATGAAACTGTATTTACTGTAATTAGTTACCAGGCACGACAATACTTTGTATTGTCGAATTTGTAATTATTTTCTCGCTCCTCCCCCCCCCCCCCCTCCCTTTTTAAAAAAAAATCATTTTTTTCACTTGTGTCTATTTCTCTTCCCCATTAATTTTTTTACCTTTATACATTCGAATTAGCTAAAGTACTTCATCGTGATTTTATATTTTCAATTTTAGTAAATCGGAACATATAAGCAAAATGTAAGAATAATAACTCTTTAATGAATAAATAAAAAATATTATATATATATATATATAGAACAATGTTTTATTTTGTGTGCAGTTCTATTTAGTTAGGAAATTTTACAAAATCCAATGGTAGAGTATTGCTGTTTTAACATGCACGTCACAATCTCTTAACTCACTGATTTAGAATTGAACAAATCACTCATGTCAAATAACGATTCGATACGTAGTAGTAAACGAAGATTAAAATAAAAAAAATTTAATTATCGTCCCGTTAAAATATCGTTAAAATATTTTACAAATATTTCTATATGAAATAATGCGATCATCTGTAATATAATAGATAGAATGTTAAGATACAGTAAGGTTGAAAGTTAACTGAGAATGTCAATCTTATTCGAGTGAAAAATATTAAATATTTCATTAGATTGTGGAGAAATCGGTTGTCGCTCGATTAGCATTAGTAATGAGCGGCCTTTATCGAGATAAAAACTAAACTAGATATATATTTATTATATAGGAATCAAATATATTGCATGAAATCAAATCAAATTGCAATCGCAAAGCGCATAGTATTGCATCCGCATGCAATATCCTGGACTGTAATTTGTCATTGCTGGTTATGTTATAGAGAGCCGCGGTATGAAGTACTTTCCAGCAAATATTTGACGCCAATTTCATGAAGGTAAATGAAGAAAAGAGACGAAAAGACTAGAAATCGATGAGAGGCATTTGAAGCAATCACCGGCTATACCTGAAAGACGGTGGACTGCGGATAGAGAAGCACTAGCCCGTCTCCGTTTCCCAGAAGTGGATGGATCGCCTCGAGGAGTAGCGGTAACAACACGAACCAAGTGCGTAACATCGTGAACAATACGCAGTCGTAGTAGCGCCGTCGGTTTTTCTTCATTCGAAGGCAGCGTTGGTGGTGGTGGTGGTGGTGGTGGTGGTGGTGGTGGTGTCGTCGTCGTCGTCGTCGTCGTCGGAGGCGGCGGCGGCGGCGGCGGCGAGAGAGGCGGCTGCGTCAGTAGTGTCAGCGGTGTGAAACGTCTGTGGACCAATAGTGGCTTGCGTGCTGTGCCCATCTAGCGGCTAAATTAAATTTCATCGCGCGTGATTTCTTCCCTACCGTTAATGAGGTTAACAAATTTTTTTCCCTCGCGTGTGCAACTCTGCAATTTTTTGCCGCTCGGAGCATTGGCCTCGAAAAAAATCTTACGCCTCGTTAAATACGCCGCGCGCTGGCATCCGCTTGATCGTTACGTCGAATTCGCCGTTGAATCAACCCACTACACCCCATTCCAAATCTGATTTTACCGATCTAGATTTCGTAGTGCGACTGCTCCGTCATTTCAAGCCATCCGCCGCTACACACTTTTCTCGGCGATGCGTTGACCGACATCCGCTTCTTACGCCAACTCCACGGCAATCGTTCAGCTTCGAAACACACAGGATTTTGGTTTGAATGTGCTTTGAGCAGTCGTTATTAAAAATTACACGAATAATACAGCGATTATTGGATATATAGAAAAGGATATGGATAACAATACGAATAATTGGATTTGCGCATTTAGGGCACCGAAAGAATGATTGGCACTAGTCGCCGTACCGACGAAGCTCTTTATTTAGCTGGCTGCGTCACATCGAGAGTGGAGATCGCATTCGAGTAGACGCGAGATATCGCAAAACTTTTATGCCCAACGTTATCAAGATAAAGTCGACGAGCGGACAGGTTAAGGATAAATAAAAGGACGGTCTCGCTCGTGATTGGCGTCGCAGCTTTTCACACGCAGACAATTTTTGATAAAACGACAAGCCCGGACTATAGAATGTCCTGGATATATAAAACGTAACGTCGCTCTAATTTTATACTCATTGAATAAATGAGTAAAATTCTAAATTCGCCGGCTGAGAGCAACCGTGTTGCTTTCAATTATTTCATAGGTAGCGGTCGATATACGCAGCTGCCGATAGTTCCGCCGCCGATACAATTACGTCGCGTAGCTCGTGCTAACTGCTCGCTTTACAGGCTGCCTTTAGGCTTTACTTACCTAGCCCTTTGCCAATGAAAGTCAAAGATCGTAGTGCTGCATTTAATCCAACTTGTCATTTAACCTTCATCTAGGGCTCATCTGATAAAGCTTTCATTAGGACGTTTATTCGGTTGCAAAGTACATTATATATTGATTAGCAAACTTTATTAATTATGTGTGCATAAATGTCTCGAAACTGGGACTCTTTGTTTATTATCTTTTCAGCCACTGACGTTCCGATAATACGAGAGAGGATAATTTTACCGTATGAGCATTGTTAATTCATAAATATTCATAAGTTACATTGGTCGTATTTATAAGCTACATTTGTGCTTCGATTATATCATCAAATTTTCTACAACACGAGGCGCTATTTTAATAAGCGGATTAAAGCAATCGCAATGATTGAAAATATCGCACGAGATAGATAGGTAGATAGATAGATAGAGATAGATAGAGATAGAGCGGGAGGGTGGGGAGGGTGTAGCGATGCTTGATATAAATGGAAAAGGAAGGCATTGGGAGGAGGAGGACTTCTCTCATTTCCTTTTAAATTTCCGTGTGGCAACCGGAGGGCGGAAGTAAATCAGGATGCTTGTTATTCGCTAGCAATCGTTGCAAGCTTGTCGTCGACTGAAATGATCCTCCGCAGATGTTCAATTGAAACGGAAACTTCGAATTGCCGTTTGGAATATCTAATATCGTTCGCTTCAATTTTTGCTTTCTTCCTTGTATGTTAAAAGCAGCCGACTTGGGAGCCCATTCGCGGATTAGCGATCAGGTTCCGATTATGATTATGTAATACCACTAGTCCCGGCGTCCTGCCTTGTTTACCATTATTAAAACGTACACAATGAATTATAGTCGTCAGATAGTCTCAAGCAGTTTATTTGAATTACAAGTATTTAGGTAAGCAAGCGAACTTTGCTAATGCCTTTGGTATGTTAACTCCCACATTGGTATGTGGTTGGTTTATATGTCTAACCCCGTTCTTTAGCTATGACCCAACTTGTATCGGCTTCCCCTAATCACATATTTCCACTCTAACTTTCGCTATAACTTTTATTTATATCGCCAATGTGCGAAGACTTTTGCAAAACCGTGATAAATAATTATTTTGAGAAAATACTTTGTCAAATGAATAGTTATGCACGAATTCGTGTCTTTTTAGGTAAATAATTACCGTACTTGGATATTCAATAATTAAATAGACCATTGACAAATAATGTTGAAAGTGTATTTGAAATTCGAGAGCCAAGTAATTTAACAACGTAAATCTACAATCTAATAATGTAAAATCTCCAAAAACAATAATCACTATTTAAATTTTAATATACTATGTTTTTACATATAAATGAGCTAGTTTAATTGCATGGGATTACAAATTATCTCTTACATTTACAAATTTAAATATAATTAGCTACTTTCTTATGTAATATCTAATATTAATTCTAGGAATAATTTATACAACAATTAAACAATATAGAATAAAACACCAATTGTTTTTTTAATAAATCAAAATTTGTTTCATCCATATATTTCATTGCCTACGTACGTCTATTACATTTTATTAAAATGTATCATTAAATCGATAAGAAATTTAAAGTAAAGGATATAATTATTCATTGGTAATAGTTATTATTTATAGGGGAAAAAAAAATTAATAATAATAACTCTTGAATAGCGTATTCACTAAAAGCTTAATAATATAAACGATATTTACGTATAATGAAATAAAATATATAATGTTAAATGAAAACAATCTTTACGAAAAAATGATGGATAATAATTTTCAAATTGATTATCCTTTTACATAAGTTCTTAAAAATTAAGTAATGTAAAAAAAGTGCTAAGCATTTTGATAAAAAAAATGATCGCCACAATAAAGTATTTAAAGTATTAAACGATTATGTGTAAATTTACTTCTATGAAATTGATTGGAGACAATTGAATTGTAGTATTTAGGAACATAAGTAGGGCAGGGAACGTAGCGATGAAAGGGAACCGATTTGTGTTATATATATATATATATATATATATATATATATATATATATATATACATAATAGGTCTTAAAAGTTTCTTAGAAAGTGCATGTAGCAGTGCATCGATGGGACGAAGAAAGGAGGCTGAAGGACTCGCAATTGAAAGCGCAGTTGAAAGTCGAAAGGTCGAAGAAACAGAGCAAAACTGTCCGACACTCTTGGCTTATGTCAGCCAAATGGCGATTCAATCCTTTTAACATGGATCGACGAGTGTGCGAGGGAAGCATAAGGGGATAGGAAATTTCAAGTGACGGGAAATCGATAGTCCCACACTTTTGCCAAAACCCTCGTTCACCGGAAGGCGGTAATTAGTGGTCGAGCTCGTTAAAATGCGCGACAATTCATTCTCATTGCAGCCAAGAAGCGATAATAGCCAGCCGATTATTATCCACGAATCAGCTTGTTTTTGCATGCCTTGATGCTCGTTTCGGATTCGCCCATCCGCTTCAAGAATTAATTTATCTCGAGGATCGAGCCTTTTGATACGTGAACACGGCAAACTCGAGCTTTCCTTGATTTTGTATTGCGAATTTCGGCCTCTCCTTCTAAGCTGTCTTATTTGCAAATCCGTTGCTTTCTCACTCGCTCTCAGGCCAATGAATTCAGCGCTCAATTATACACTAGAACTCGGGAAACACTCTCACGAGCCGCATTTTTACATCTCTGCCATTTTCCCGCCTGACTTAAAAATAGTTGGTTTACATCGAGAATGATTTTCAAAAAATTTGCACAAATTACCAACTAATAGAGCTTACTCTATCACTGGTAGTATTTAGTTTATGATTATTATGTTGCTTATTATTAATTAATTAATTATTAGTTTGGAGCTGATAGACACTTTAAACTTACAATAGAATTACTTTACGAATTCTGATCGAATTAATCATTAATGCGCTTATTTCATATTTAAAATTTTCCTTAATTATTCAACAGTCATTATGATAATTGACGTTCATAAATCAAATAGTGATTACGTGAAAATGTAAAAAATGTAAAGACTTGAAAAATTTTACGAAAAAAACTTAATATTATACGTAAAGGGATTCCTTTTTGAAAAGAAAAATATTCTTAACACTAATAGAAATTTAACCTTAAATTTCATTATAAAAATCTATCAAGTCACCAATAATCATTCAGACTTCATTAGTTTCTTAAATAATAACATTGTTTACTTATTAATTCACATATATATATTTATTGTTTATTATGGAAATTGTATTACAATTTATTGAAAAAATATTTGCATAATAATCAATTATTAAGCGAGGGATTTATTCAATTTCTATATAACAATTTTAACCTGGAATACGCGAAGATGCATTTTAGTCTAAACTCATCAGAGATAGATAAATATTTTTATAACCTTAAATGATCAAAGTAATGGATTACAAATAAATCTAATTAGATACAATTGGTATTATCAATGAGAATTTATGGTACGCTATAGTAATATACGATTACATGTGTAATTTAAGACAGATTATTGATAATAAAAACCATTTTCGAAATAAATTTGATGAAAACTATGATGAATATTGTATATTGAAAATTACTTTAGAAATAATATATTCGGAAGTATAATTCAATTTATAAGAAATATATTGTTTATTGCAATTTTTTTTATAGAGATATTATTTTAATGTATAAATTAAATATGAAACCCAAGTAAAAAGGATTTTTATAAATTGCATTTAGAATGACGACAATGTAATTTTTCATATCTTATTATAATCATAAGAATTTTAATTAAAAAAGAATGCACATCATAATTATATTTAATTTCACAATTTTCTTATATTTTTAAATATTTTATTATTTATT